ATGACTATATCATAGCAATCCAATTTGTTTGCATTCAATTACTTACATAAAATTAGGCTCTAATTGTAATTGTCTTCAGATAATAAATATATTGTAATCTACAATGTGTAGATTTATGCTATTTGAAGGACCTATGAGTTTTGTATTTCTATAACCAATACTCTGTTTCATTTGGTTCTGTTTGTCTTGGCACATATCATTTTAATATATTAAATTTTACAAAGTAATTTAATTAGAAGGCTATTTGAACCATTTAATTTTTGAAACAATTTTTAGAATAAGATTAAACATATATTTGTAATCTGAAATTGACATATACTTTACCAATGGAAAACAAGACACAAAACTGTTGGGCTGATTCTTCAGAACAACCCTAACTGTGTAAGGTTATATGTAATTTTTAGCAATTTGAAATGCAAATTTTCTATTTATTCACTCAAATATCCTGGAATACTTCTAAGGCATCTGAGTGAAATACTTAAAAGAAAAAAGTTTTGTAGAGAAAGAAGGTATTCCTTAAAAATCCATTATTTCCATTTCAGTGTAAGAATAATTATGTTAAAATAAAGTCTTATTAAAAATAGGCATATCTTAGAAAATTAAGATTTGTGTATATATAAATGCAAACTTTCATAGCAAGTGTTACTTTAGTAAATATCCTCAAATTCATATAAAATCAATTTATGTTTAAGACTAAACTGCTTTTTAAAATAATCTTGCCAGTTTTACCAACGCATTTTCTTGAATAAGTCATTCATAAAAAAAACATACCTACCCTCTAACAGACTATCAAATTTGTCAAATGATTAAATTAATGAAATGTCCAAAATGTAATCTTTAGAATAGATACGGTAATATATGTAAAAGTTCTTATAAATAATCAATTGTTAATACAAATACGTTAGTAAAACTATTAATCACTGGTACTCAGGGATGTAGAGGCTGTGCATTGTTCCACCTGAAGGGGCGCTGTGTGATTTAGATTTCATTCATTAATGTCACCTTGTACAGACTGGAAACGCCCTTCTAATGCAGTTGGATCAGGTTCTCAGTGTCTCTATGTGGGCAGGTATACATAGCTGTTTCTCTGTTTTCTCACCTGCTGACTCTACCATATGTGTGTTTGGATCCGATTATTACAGAGCACAGAAGGTGGATGTGAGACAGGCCACTAGGAAGCTGAAAATTGTGTAAAGGCTGGGATGGTTCACGCGGAGTGTCAACTTGATTGGATTGAAGGATACAAAGTATTGTTCCTGGGTGTGTCTGTGAGGGTATTGCCAAAGGAGATTAACATTTGAGTCAGTGGATGGGGAGAGGCAGAGCCACCCTCAATCTGGGTGGGCACCATCTAATCAGCTGGCAGCGCAGCTAGGATAAAAGCAGGCAGAGGAACGTGGGGGGACTTGACTGGCTGAGCCTTCCTGCCTTCCTCTTTCTCCTGTGTTGGATGCTTTCTGCCGTCGAACATCGGACTCCAAGTTGTTCAGCTTTTGGACTCTTGGACTTACAGCAGTGGTTTGCCAGGGGCTCTTGGTCCTTTGGCCACAGACTGAAGGCTGCACTGTCGGCTTCCACGTTTTTGAGGTTTTGGGACTCGGACTGGCTGCCTGCTCCTCAGCTTGCAGATGGCCTGTTGTGGGACTTCACCTTGTGATCGTGTGAGGCAGTCCTCCTTGATACGCTCCCTTTCATATATCCATCTCTCCTGTCAGTCCTGTTCCTCTAGAGAACCCTAACACAAATGCACCCTCTCATAATGAAACAGACATCCCAACAAGAGATTTGCTTAAACATAGAATTTTAATTATCATGTAAAAATAGCCCCTTTGTGAAACAAAATGTCTTTAACCATTTCATTTTTTTTTCTTCTATTATATACTATATCTTCTATGGAGTATAAGCAACTTTTTTTTTTTTTTTTTGAGGCAGTCTCGCTCTGTCAACAGGCTGGAGTGCAGTGGCACGATCTTGGCTTACTGCAACCTTCACCTCCTGGGTTCAAACGATTCTCTTGCCTCAGCCTCCTGAGTAGCTGAGACTACAGGTGTGTGCCACCACCCCTGGCTAATTTTTGTATTTCTAGTAGAGATGGGGTTTCACCATGTTGGCAAGGCTGGTCTCAAACTCCTGACCTCAAGAGATCTGCCTGCCAAGGCCTTCCAAAGTGTTGGAATCACTGTGTGAGCCACTGCACCACGCCTTGTGTTACAATTTTTTAAAGTTATAAGTCTGGTAAGCACCTGCAGGGTGGTTGATGAGGAGACAGATGCATTGTTAAACAAGATGCTTTCAGGCTTTTCTTTAAGGAATTTAAAGATGAACAGGACATTCAGAAAAGTAAACACATAATGTAAGTATGAATAAAATGCTGTAATTCAGATTCTATGGGAACTCAGAGAGACACTCAAAAGTCCAATGAACAGAGGCTTGTGTCCATTTTAATCTATACATTCAGCAGATTGATCACTTTTGAACACAATACTGCTCAATGAAAAAGTAGAGTCTGAACTAACCTTAAGATTGTATTATTTTTCACAAATGCAAGGTTTAAATGATAATTCCCGGAGGGCGAGCAGGGACACAGAGAAGGAAAAAACAGGGAATTTCTAAAAATGCATTGAGATACTTGTTTCTTGGAGACTTGTTACCAATCCAGTGCTTAACATTTATCAGATAGTGTGCTTTGCCATCTGCCAGATAATGTGCTCAGGGGATTCCTCACCCTTTAATCCTCCTAACCTTATTAATGTAGTACCAGTATTATGTTCATCTTTTAGATGTGGAAACGGAGGCCCACAGAGGTCAAAGCACCTACCTCAAATCAGAAAGCTGGAAGGTAAGCTTTTAACAACTGTGAGCAGATCTTCTCTAACAGTGTGACAAAAATCCTAAAACACAGGGAAAGGGAGACAGAGTGGCAGGGGTGGGGTATTTGGTGAAGTGTAGAATAACACAAGGTCAAATTCTCTTTTATTTTTTCTTAGATGGGTGTCACTCTGTCGCCCAGGCTGGAGTGCAGTGGCATGATCATAGCTCACTGCAGCCTCGATCTCCTAGGCTCAAGCAATCCTCCTGCCTCAGCCTCCTAAGTAGCTGGGACTATAGGTGCATATCACCACACCCAGCTAATTCTTGTATTTTTTGTAGAGGTGGGGTCTCTCTATGTTGCCCAGGCTCGTCTCAGACTCCTGGACTCCAGTGATCCACCTGCCTTGACCTTCCAAAGTGCTGGGGTTACACGCGTGAGCCACCACACCCGGCCACATGTCGCATTCTCAAGCTATTTGTTACCACAGATCATTGAAGAAACTGACCATATAAACCACTACTCTTGCATACATAAGCCTCTCACAAATCTCTCTAGCACCAGGAAATTTCCATCAAATGAACAGCATTGACTGGGAATATCAGAGAGTGTCCCAACAGGGTGAAAGCAGATTGCATGACTTTGTAGCTAATGATTTCATAACATCAATATATTCATGATATAGTATCACACAAGACACTGATACACTGGCTATTATATTTGTAAGCTGAATTTTTTATTTTAAACAGGGCTTGTACATGATTATTTATCACAATATCAAATTCCACAAATAAAATATTCTTTTACTTTGAAATCTCTGTCTTCACTTTATGGCTTTTTATTATGAAACTTGATCTTGGTATTACTGATGTACCTTGACTTCATTATACTAAACAACACTCATATTAGTACTTCAGTACTGGCAAAACAGCTAGACCTTAAACTCAGTCAAATATCTATTAAAGTGCATTGACTTTTATGCTGAAATCAATTTATTAAATAAAAGTCCCTTGCCACAGTGGAATAAAGAATATAATTCCAGGCCAGGTGCGGTGGCTCAAGCCTGTAATCCCAGCACTTTGGGAGGCCGAGGCGGGTGGATCACGAGGTCAAGAGATCGAGACCATCCTGGTCAACATGGTGAAACCCCATCTCTACTAAAAATAAAAAAAATTAGCTGGGCATGGTGGCACGTGCCTGTAATCCCAGCTACTCAGGAGGCTGAGACAGGAGAATTGCCTGAACCCAGGAGGTGGAGGTTGTGGTGAGCCAAGATCGCGCCATTGCACCCCAGCCTGGGGAACAAGAGCGAAACTCCATCTCAAAAAAAAAAAAAAAGAATATAATTCCATGTTTGAAGGAACCTCTAAAACTACAATTTTTACATTTTTAAAAAGTATAATCTAAAAATGATTCAATAACTTCAGGTGTGTTTTTTAAAAACTAAATTTAATCAATCAATTCATATAATGCTCTCTAATTTATATAAAAGATAAAAATCTTATTCTTGGGCTAACTTGATAAAAAAGGGTTCTTAGTTTTTAAAAGGGCTCTACTGAAGAGTATTCTTAGAAAAAGTGTGATATACCTCAGTGGCCCCCAACCTTTCTGGCACCAGGGACCAGTTTTGCGGAAGACAATCTTTCCATGACTGGGGGTGGAAGTGGGGGTGGGTGGGGGATGGTTCTCGGATGAAACTGTTCAACCTCAGATCATCAAGCATTAGATTCTCATAAGGAGCACAACCTAGATCTCTCACATACACAGTTCACAGCAGGGTTTGAGCTCCTATGAGAATCAAATGCCACTGCTAACCTGACAGGAGGCGGAGCTCAGCAGGAATGCTCAGTTTGAGGCTCACCTGGTGCTGTGAGGCCTGATTCCTAACAGACCACGAACCAGTACCAGGACCATGGTCCGTGGGTTGGGGACCTCAGTATACATAGCTAACTAAAATTAACAACTAACATTTTCTAGAAATACCTGAGAGCCAACGTCTAAAAAATATAACTTTGCTTAAATTTAGCACCATTTGTATATGTAAAAAAAAACTGATATGCTAGAGTTAGTAAAAATGGCTTATTCTCTACAATCTAGTTATTTCTTTTATAATGCAAAAATGTACACCCCAAGAAAAAAAGGATTACAAATGTACACACAGGTATCACAAAGAGGTCTTACTCGATCCCATTTTCTTTTTAAAATGGAGACATTTCAAAGGCAGAAAAAGACCTGAGTCTGGTTACGTAATTGAAGTAAATATAAGAGAGAGTCACGAGGACATTTTTACACAGGCCCAGTACAGGTGTGATGGTCCCAAGCGCAATGATTAAAGCAAGTCTAACAAAAACAAATGGTAAATCTTGCAGCAGGATGCCCAGGGAATTGAGAAGAGGGTTTTGGGGAGTGAATGTAATTCGAAGGAGAGAAATAAAACTGAAAATGTAGACTGGGTATAGCCAGCTTGACTTGTACACATTGGAGTGACCAGCCACACGCACCATTTCTATCGTGTCAGACCACAGGAGAAAGCTCCATAAGACTATCTCTGCCCGGTCATCTCCCCGGGACATGGTTCTCAGAATTCCCGAGTCACAGGAGGGCTCCTGGGGCCCCATGAACACAGACACCTGGCTCTGCGTCCTGGCTCCTGATGGCTGGGACACCTGAGTGCTGCCGGTTGCCTGGGGAGATGCAGCGTTGTCTGGACTTTGCCTCACTTGCTCTGTCACAGTTTTTATTTGTTGCAAAGAGGTTGAATAGATGTGTCCATTTTGACTACCTGCAATAAACAGATTTATTTACATTTTAGTTCAAACGTTTTTCAAATTTAAAATTCCATTTAATGGTGGAATTCTCCATATTCTTTTTTTTCTTCACTTAATTTATTTTAAGTTCCAGGGTACGTGCACAGGACGTGCAGGTTTGTTACACAGGCAAATGTGTGCCATGGTGGCTTGCTGCACCTGTCAACCCGTCACCTAGATATTAAGCCCCGCACGCATTACCTAATTAACCTGATGCTCTCCCTCCCCCCATATTCTATTATTTGAGGCTGATTTTACCCATGGAACTCCAAGATAACACTGAAATAGCACAGTGAAAGAACTCAGAGGTAGAGAAGGCTCTTGGTGTCTTGGTATTTTCCTGGATTCAGATCCAAAGTCATTTTTTTACCACTCCATAATAACAAACAGTATTGGTTTCTAAGCTATGCACCTTCACACATGGATCTCATTTAATCCTCAGAACTAAGGTGAGGAATAGGGATTAGTATCCATTTTACAACTATGGAAACTGGGGCCTGAGAGGTTAAAAGATGCCCATATTCAAATGCAGTTAGTATTGGGCGGAGCTGGAATTCACACCTAGATTTGTTTGACTCCAACTGACAGTCTTAACTTTACACCTGCTATTGCCTGTCAAGAAACAATAGATCATGTGCTAATTATAAAACATTTAAGTGTCATAAAATCAAATGAATCTGAAAGTCCCCCAGTCCAACCCCGTCATTTTGTAAGACATAGGCCCTGTCATTTTGTAAGAAGAGGCTCACAGAAATTACCAAAGCCCAGATCTCCAGGCATGAAGTTTGGTGCTAAGAGAAAATTACTGTTGTGTTTTGTTTTGTTTTGTTTTGTTTTGTTTTGTTTTGTTTTGTTTGAGACAGAGCCAAAATTAGCATTTTGTTTTGTTTTGTTTTGTTTGAAACAGAGCCTTGCTCTGTCACCCAAGCTAGAGTGTAGCATTATGATCTCGGCTCACTGCAATCTCTACCTGCCAGATTCAAGCAATTCTCCTGCCTCAGCCCACACACCCCAAGTAGCGGGGATTACAGGCACACGCCACCATGCCTGGCTCATTTTTAGTAGAGACGGGCTTTCCATGTTGGCGAGGCTGGTTTCAAACTCCTGACCTCAAGTGATCTGCTTGCCTCAGACTCCCAAAGTGCTGGGATTACAGGCACGAGCCACGGTGCTGGCCTAGAGGGAATCTATTTGACCACTAAAGATCCGTAGTGAAGACTGACGTGCTGAATCCAAGATTTTTAAGCTGGTCTTTCACAAACGTTCTTGAAGCGATCGTTAGGATTGGTTAACCTAAAGCCTCTCTTCTGTGGCCAAGTCAACACACAAGTGATCTGAATGAATAGGGCACATGATGTAACACCATTGTGTGTGTGTGTGTGTGTGTGTGTGTGTGTGTGTGTGTGTGTGTGTTTCTTTCCATGCATACATGAGTGTTGAGGCTGAATTATGAACAAACTCAAATTTCAAGACCTAAAACAATGTCAATGCCGTTGTTTTTATACACAGAAGGTATAATGTGTTCTATTCCAAACATTTATCCACTAAAATGCCATTTTAGTTGCTACGCATTTATCAGGCCTTAACAAAGTTTACTCAGCAAACATGCTGAGCTGCCATATGATGAGATAAGACAAAATTTAACGGGAGTCATTAGACCGAATAGCTCTAAAGGTCAAAGAGGCAAAGTCAATAAGAATTTGTTCAACAGCATGAAGCTAAGCATGAAAACATTTAAAAAAAAATAAATGATGATTGATAACTAAGAAAATGCTTGACTACTTTAAGTACAAGTTTGTTTAAAGGACACAATACATTTCTATTTTCTTTTATACAATTAACTAATTATTGTTAAAGTTTAAGTGTGAATTGAGCATTTTTATAAACTAAAAAGATAATCTAAATTCTCGATGACACATTACTTACTTCCAGTATGAATCATTGATAGGTAAATGTCAGCACCCATGACCTTAGAAACTTCTTTACCAATCTTAGAATTCACAGTGGCCTGAGTGGGAATCATCTTTATAAATAACACTCAAGTAAGGGAGAAAATTATATAACTATTTAGTATTCTTAAATTCATAAAACCTCTTATTAAACTCAGATGCTCATTTATGTCCATTGAACCTCTTATATTATTTTAAAAAATTCATATAGAGCCAGGTGCTGTGGTTCACACCTGTAATTCCAGCACTTTGGGAGGCCAAGGCGGGCAGATCACCTGAGGTCAGGAGTTTGAGACCAGCCTGACCAACATGGTGAAACCCCGTCTCTACTAAAAATACAAAAATTAGACAGGCATGGTGGTAGGTGCCTGGAATCCCAGATACTTAGGAGGCTGAGGCACAAGAATTGCTTGAACTCAGGAGGAAGAGTTGCAGTGAGCTGAAATCGCACCACTGCACTCCAGTCTGGGCAACAAGCAAGACTCCATCACAAAAAAATAAAATAAATAAAAGTGAATAAAAAATCCTTACAGAAAATGTGCCTTAGAATATGTCATGTCCTAGAGAACTTTTCTTCCCCTCTCTTGGTAGATGAAGCTGTCATAATGAAAATCCAAATGCCTTTGTTAGCATTCAGAACACATTGTATAATTTGGGCTTTTGAAAGATGATTGCAAATTCAGCATTGTTTCAAAGCCAGGAAGTGGAAGCCCCAAAAGTGACACATTAACATTTTTTCAACACTCAGTGAGAGCCTTAACATTTCAGAAGCTAGGAGCCCTGCTATGAACAATGAATTCTCAGCTGGAGTGTGCTTTCGATAAGATACATGTATATGTGGTGAAATGAGGTCTGTGTACTTCTTACCTCTCCACAGATGAGAAGGGACTCATTTAGATTAGAAGGTACAGGAAGCCTGCTTCCTCTTTTCAAGTGAGAAGTACTAGAACTATTAACTGGAAAGCTTTGATGACCTCCCAGGGGCCTGGGGAGAGTTGAGGAAGCTGAGAAATCTTTTGGTCATTGGAAGGGACCAGCAATTACACCTCTGAGCAAAATACAGGGTCATGTATTCGGTACTATTCCCTTTAGCTCCATGATGAGTTTTCTCTCCAAATGAGTACTTTCTTTCTTCTTCTTCTTTTTTTTTTTTTTTTTTTTTTTTTTGATGGAGCCTCACTCTTTCCCCCAGCGTAGAGTGCAGTGGCTGATTTCAGTTTACTGCAACCTCCACCACCCAGTTTCAAGCAATTCTCCTGCCTCAGCCTCCTGAATAGCTGGGACTACAGGCGCCCGAGTCAGACCCAGCTAATTTTTTTGTATTTTTGTAGAGACAGGGTTTCACCGTGTTGCCCAGGCTGGTCTCGAACTCCTGAGTTCAGGCAATCTGCCCGCCTTGGCTTCCCAAAGTGCTAGGATTACAGGCGTTAGCCACCGGTGCCCGGCCCAAATGAGTACTTTCTCAGTGTCTACTTAGAGCCGGAATTCTTTTTTTTTTTTTCCCGAGATAATCTTGCTCTGTCGCCAGGCTATAGTACAGTAGAGCAATCTCAGTTCACTGCACCCTCCACCTCCCAGTTCAAGGAATTCCCCTGGCACAGCTTCCCGAGTAGCTGAGACTACAGGGCCCGCCCCCACGCCCAGCTAATTTTTTGTATTTTAGTGGAGAGGGGGTTTCACCATGTTGGCCAGGATGGTCTCAATCTCCTGATCTTGTGATCCGCCCGCCTCAGCCTCCCAAAGTGCTGGGATTACAGGAATGAGCCAAAGCGCCTGGCCGAGCTGGAATTATTTTCCCATTGTTGTTTGCTGTTATTTGTTGTTTTGGTAAAACGATATTCATTGATACAAAATCCATAGAAGATATAAGCCTAAAGAGAGTAATCTCCTCAGCCCCTGAGAGGCTCACACGGCCCTGTAAAAGTCAAAACAGCAGCCTTGGCCGGGCGCGGTGGCTCAAGCCTGTAATCCCAGCACTTTGGGATGCTGAGGCGGGTGGATCACGAGGTCAAGAGATCGAGACCATCCTGGTCAACATGGTGAAACCCCGTCTCTACTAAAAATACAAAAAATTAGCTGGGCATGGTGGCACGTGCCTGTAATCCCAGCTACTCCGGAGGCTGAGGCAGGAGAATTGCCTGAACCCAGGAGGCGGAGGTTGCGGTGAGCCGAGATCGTGCCATTGCACTCCAGCCTGGGTAACAAGAGCGAAACTCCGTCTCAAAAAAAAAAAAAAAAAAAAAAACAGCAGCCTTTCCATACAGTTTTCCATATCTGATTCTAATTGCTGAAACGACTTTTGGTCATCACTGTGTAAGCTAAATAAACAAGAGAATGTCATTTGGATAGCAGACAAGTGGTTAACTAGGCAACTATAACATACTTTACTCTGTTGTTTATTTATATGAATTAATTTTAACTTCCAAATTGTTCTCCCAAAGTTTTTAATACCTAACAGGAGGGGTAAAAAAAAAAAAAAAAAAAAAAGGACACAAGATGACAATTCAGTAGTGAGACATTTTCTAGAGTGTGCATTCCTCTTGCAAAGAGAACAGGAAAACAATATATTGTCTAAATAAAAACAGAGGCTGGGCACAGTGGCTCATGCCAGTAATCCCAGCACTTTCGGAGGCCGAGGCTGGGGGGGAATCTCTTGAGGCCAGGACTTCCAGACCAGCCTGGCTAATGTGGTGAAACCCCATCTCTACTAAAAATACAAAAAAATTAGCCGGGTATGGTGGCATGCACCTGTAGTCCCAGCTACTCAGGAGGCTGAGGCAGGAGAATCGCTTGAACCCAGGAGAGGGGGGTTGTAGTGAGCTGGGATTGCACCACTGCACTCCAGCCTGGGGAAGGTGGGAGAGAAAAAGAGCTGATGTCTATTAAGAACTTTCTACGTTTTAAAACCCTGTGGTTTTAATAGGGTTTAACGCACTTATTGAAACCCTATGGTTTCTCCATTTTATCTTACTTTATGTTATTGTAGAGACAGGCTCTTGCTCTGTTGCCCACACCGCAGTGCGGTG